ATAGCCAGGAATAGCGGAGGCAAAGAGACTGGCAGTAATTTATTTGCACCTTTCTCCATGGGGAATGTATAGCCACAGTTACCACGCTTGACAAACGGCTTGGCGACCGCAGGTTTTTAGATGCTACTGCCCTTCTCCTAGTTTGTTTCCTTCTGTGGTTCTTACGACACCAACGGGACGATATAGGGTAGTGGATATTCTTACACCGACACTTCATGGTCACCCGACACTATTCTGGAGCAAGTCTCAATCAAGACAGAGGATCAAGACTCATCTGACACTGCTCCGGCGATATCTCGACATCGGTCTTAGTTAAATCAGTGATATCTCGGAAGTCACTCTAAATTATATTAGCATGCCTTTCCAGCTGAAAAACGGAAGGTGACGGGCGAGGAAGGACGGAATTATAGCAAAGCTTCTGATAGCAGATGGAAAACCGGTAGTTGAAGTACTTCAGAAACAGTTCCATTCCATCCTGCATGGTAACACTACTAGTGAGCAGTAGTTAGGTGATCTTGTTTTACAAGAACGGCGAAAATGCTCTATTAAAGGACTACAGATCGATTTCCATACTAAATCGCGTCTACGTGCTGTTTTCATGAGCCATAAAAATTCGCCTCGCACAGCAGGGCAGCTCCACTAGATGGGGTGACGACGAGCTAAGAGGTGCGAGAAGTCGATCGTTGCAGTTGGCTTAGGCCTATGTTTAATGGCATGGCTTGGTGGAGGTCTATGTTCCGCAGATGACTTTCTGAAGTTTCTTCGTATTTTGTTTCGTATAAAATTGAAGAAATATCTCTTTGGTTATACTGTTTGTATCTGGGTGGTTTTAATATCAATACATATAGGGTATTAAGAAAAATAAAAATAAAAAGTATAAGACACTTTCAATTGTTTTTCTGTCCGCCGAAATAAGTGAATCTAACGAAGAAATTCGATACATTCTGAAGTTTTATTACAGAAAAGGGAAAAACACGACTCAAGCCGCTTGGTTTAAGCATTTTCAGTCCAGGAATTTCATTGTCAAAAATGCAGCACGCTATGGTCGCCCTCATACGGATAAAGTCAATGCCATTTTCGAAAAAGTGGAGCCCTCAGATTTTCACCTGTTTCGGTGTCTTCAGAATTTTTTGGGTAGTGTTAGGTTAACATCAAAAGAGGACTGTCAAAACAACTTGTCGCATTTTTTTGATCAAAAATCCCAAGATTTCTACAGCAACGGGATTATATCACATTTTGATTATTAAAATGTTTTTACTTTGTTTGATGATGATGATGATTTCAGTGAGCTCGTCAATTCACATTGAAGCGGATAACAGGATATATTTAATTACATAATGCATATCACGTACACATAATATACAGCCTGCTGTGAAAATTACAATACTAATAGGTACTGTTTTTACTATTAAACTAAACGCTACTTACCCATGAAACAAATGAATTTGCTGAGCGACTCAAAATATGTTACAACATCTGAAGATGCATTTAATAAAACCGGTTGTTGCAAATTATGCAATAAGAGCGTAAATGATTCTTTCAACTGATTCCTCTTCGATATGTTTTCTACGAGAAAATCCAAAATGACACATAGATTATCTAAAACATGAATTTTCTGTGGATTGTATAGGTTTAATTATTGTTTTATACTCATTAACTTACATATTTTTTACAGTTTAAATTACATAGTACTCTAATATGTTTTTGTTAGCATTAAAACTATTAAGACGCGTCATGAAATCAAATGTTTTCGTATATACATGTTTATAATCATGACATGCCATATAATAATACATGACAAAAGAAAAAAAAAGCAATCGTGGCAACTATAAAAACATCCAACCCCAAATTATCCCGTGAGTATCCCAACTAGAGTATCCCAAAAGTTTTTACGTGGTAGAGCTGCAGCTATATTAGTAGTATAGTTGTAGCACGAATGGGTCGGCTCGACCGGGGAAGGACCACGCAATCACAGAATACCAGCGTAAAATAGCAGCTTAACGCTGATGTGTTTCGTATGGTGAGTGTAGAGAACCCGAGACCGTTTTTAACGGAAATGAGGCATTCCATCTTATTCCTCACGGGTGACAACGCGTCTGCATTTTGATTTGTAATAGAGGATAGATGTAGATGTCTACGGGCCGCAGCAACCACTTACCATCAGGTGGACTGTGTGCTCGTTTGTCACCCTTATCTTATAAAAAAAGAGGCGACAGAGAGAAATGAAACAGAATGAAGCAGCATCATCTTGGCTGTGTGGAATATTTTATAATTAAAGATTTTCGTATGTATATATGTAAGATTAAATGTTTTTACAATGTTTGTCAATTTGCAAATAATGTAGTATTTACAGAGAAAAAATTAAGTAAATTATTAAGTATTTAAAAACGTGATATTAAAATAATTGTACTTAATCGTAAATATACTGATCGTTCAATTTAATAGTACATAATGGAAAAATAAAGTACACCGATGTAATTCTGTAAATTTCCTACATATATATTTACCAGGATGATAATTAATACTTTTTTACAAAAGTATCCAAACATTATGATATAACAAACTCGAAAATAATAATAAAGTCCCCCAAAACAATTTTCCTTTACGGTGGCAAATCCTAACGAAGACTTGCCTTCTGTGCAAGACAGGACTATAGTGCATTAGTGTCTGGTCAAGTACAGGCACTCTTTACTCTCCTTCTCTCATAGTCCGATGGGACTGCAATCTTACAAGGCCGAGAGATTAGGCTCTGGGCCAACGTTTTTACGTACTTTACGAGGCACGGGGTGAAAACACCACCAACTTCTTGACATCGGGCTGCTACAGATATTCTTTTACAGAAAGACTCCTTTCTGTAAAAAAATTATCAGTAGCAGCAGAATCAGTAGAAGAGCATTCGAACCCTTGATCGATGATAAAGTAGTTGCACTTACGACCACTTAACCAAGGAGTCTTAAAATTAATCATCATTGTCAATTCGCCTTAAAACTTTAACAAAATAATATATCTGAAGAAAAAGTATTTTGCCATAAAAAAATTTTTTATTTTTTAACATCACTTTATAAACCCTTGACGGTAACTGATATAAATTTATATTACTTAAAACTTGCACACATTCCAAATATTGTTATAATGTCAATTAAAAATAGAATTATAAATTTCAACGATGAAGATAAAATGTAGAACAGACATGCAGCATACTTTCTCCAGTGCTACACAGTATCTATTTTACATATCAAATCATGGGAACATAAGACTTAAGAGTGACAATGAATCTACTACCTGGTTATATTTCATGTGAATTTGTTAATTAGCAACCATTCACTTTTGATGCTAACGCAATTATAAGAAAAAGGATACAAATCCAAATTTAGAAATTTCGGCAAATTCCTGCAAGTGACATTGTAATCTCTCAATATGTTGATTAGCAACTTGATCCCTCACCATGAAGTCTAGAGACTTAGCGATATCCCATTCGGGAGTAGATGGACATTGATCAACCCATGCTTTATCTGAAATTATTGTTTATTTAGTCGCGTAGTGAAATTATTGTTAAGTTGCGTGAGAATTATAAATACAATATTTATGTATCAAACGTTTTGGTTTTTTTTTAACATTTGGTATTTCTAATTATATAGAGCTATCATGATAAATTCAACCAAATGCACAGCATAGGTTTTATTGTTACGGAAAGCCTTTTACAGATTCTAAGGTGTCTGTTGTTGTTTCGGCTTTTATAGCTGAAAATGATTTCTGCGTATTATTTATACTCCATATATTTCAACACATTTGAGACTCATACTTACATGGATTTCTACGCGCATGTTTGTATGTATTATCAGTTTATTATAGGCGCAATTGTTTAATAAATACTATATAAAGTATTTTTTATTAAATTCACTAGATTGATTTGCGCACACCCTTAATGATTTAAAAATATTTAGGAACAAAATAGCTAAATTACTAAGTAAAAACAAATTTCATAAGCATGGTATTTAGTAAGTAATCTTAAATATTATTGTTTTGATTGGGAATATAAGGAAAATACCTAAAATATTGAAAAACAAAAGGCGCTGCTCTGCTTACGGGTCATGTTAGTAGCACAGGAGAAATCATTTGAAAAATATATTATGGCAACAGATTTAAGGTTATGTGGGTGAAGGAAAGTTCATTTTAACTGCAATAGAAGGAGTAGCATTTTATTGTTTATGGCATGTCTACACTTTCTTAATCAGTACGTGCCTTTGATTCGATTTATAATAGCTTACGTACTTTCTTTTTTAAACGTTTCTGGAATTCTACAAATCAATCATTACGTTTATTTAGATGTATATGATAATTAGAAGCGTACCATACCGTACTTTAATCATTAGTTTCTTATAGTTAAATAGCTTTTTCATTACCTATTTGTATGGGATCAATTATTTTTGTAAGAAATTTATTCAATATTTTCTTTTCAGAATATTGTTTTTCCACTGGTCTGTGATCGCAGTTAAATGTTTCTGATGAGCCATCAGAAACAGTTGTCGTTGATGTTATTTTTTTCATTATTCCAGTATTTTGATCGCTTTTAAAGTACTGCGTGTTTGAAGTACTACTTTGCAAGTCATTATAATTTACTTTGGCTTCGTTGTAAGACGTATTTTTATGCATTTGCTTTGCAGAATCACTATTCGACAAAACGTGATAGGAATGTTTTCTTATTATAGCGTTTAATTACTATACACTTGCCTTATCCTTTTTTACTGTTGCTCCACGCTTAAAGTAAGTTCCAAAAACTATATTTGTTATAATTTGACATATACTGACATTGACACAAAGCAAGAAAAGGTTTTATAACATGATTTGAAAAGTACCTTTATACCTAATATGCAATGTAAATTTTAACTGGTATTAGCGACATATTTTAGACCGGCGTGTATCGCAGCAGCTGGCGGAGCGAATCGGTCAGCTCCCCTAGTCCGGCCTGAGGGACCAACGGAGTGACGCTCACTCACTTCAGTTGCACATCGGTCGCGCTCGCCCATAGATGCGTGCCGCGTTTTTACTATTACTCTTGTCGACGTTCCACACGTTGATTCATTAGTTTTCGGCACAAGAAAACCAAGTGAAATATACATAAGTTAAGTGTGGACACAAGTTGTGAGTGTATTCGTATTTTTGAATTCAGCCAACACGTCTTAAATATATTTTGGTGAGTGTTCTAAATAATTATTTTCTTAGAGCCGTAAGCGATGGTTCGTTGCATTTTTGTTGACATTTGTAAGTAAAGAATGCTGAAAGTTATTAAATGGTGTAATTAATTTATTTGACTTTTAGAATCTTAAGATTAAAATAAAAATAGGATATTTATATAAGGTGAACGACGGAGTGTATGAAAAAAAAGTAGGTACAGCGTATAATTATTGCTATATGACGAATGACAGGTGTATGAATGAATGAGCCGATGCTATGATGCGATGGCTAATGGGTGTGACGCAAGGACCACCACTTATTATATATTTGAAATCGTTCTGTGAGCGAACTAAACTAAGTGATCAATTTTTATGCTATAAAGTACAACAGGAACAGAAAGTGCAATTGGAACGAATTTGTGATTTATTAATTAAATCATTCATCCATCATATTATAACCTACTGTTTTTTGTATCTTGAAGTTTCCTAGACTGCTCAAATTAAATATTTCGATGCATTTAATGATGTACAATGTTCTGAACGGAATACCGCAGTATTGTATAGTATCTATTTTATTTGTTTATGAAATTAAGTTTCTTTAATAAAGATACTGAGGATATTTTGATCAATACTTTTATAAAAATAATTTTAAAGCTAAAAAATATTGTAGAAGAATTAAACAATTTTTCACAAAATAAAGGCAAATGATTAAATTAGATTGATATAATCTTTCACGCCTGTCAGCCAGAAGGCTCGGCAGAAACGATAAACCTCCACTTGGCAAGATACTGACACAGCTCTCTCCCCTCTAGATTAATACGGAGTAATCTATTCAAAATTAGGTTTCTTTTTGTAATGAGAACATATTCTTGCAAGTAAATAAAATAGTTTAATTAAACGGTAAAGTATATTCTGTGTATAATTTTGAATGGAATTCATTGTTTTAAAGAATATCTATTTAATTTAACGCGATATACTCAATATAAGTCATTTGACTGTTTAATATACGAGATACAAAATAATAAGCAAGATCTTAAGGCAAAACTTGGTTAAGGAATGACTTTCATCGTTCCATATTAAAAGTGAATATTAAGTTTGTTTTGTAGGAACGGGAGTCATTATTAAAATGTGTAAAAATCATTGATTACGCTTTCCACACAATTTCCTCATATTATATCTTTCAGTAGATCGTAAACTTTGTCGAGCGTTTATTACCTACAATCACTTGACATTTCATGTTGCGCTGTGTGCGACCAACTAGATAGCATAGGTAGCAATGAGTTTGTTGGCAATGAGTTTGTTGTCATTACGTAATGGAAGATATTAAAAGTTGATTATAGCAACACGACACCACTACGAAATTTTAATATGGATAGGTATACCTATATACTTTTTACTTTGATGGTTTATTTGACTATAAGACGTAATTTAGATTCAATTTCTTCATTATTCCTTTGAACAGATTTTTTTATAAATTAAATTCTTAGTTTCTAATTTAATATCTCTAAAATTTAGTTCTGTATTCTAATTTTAGGATTTAGGATCAATTGTTTTCTAAAATATTGATTAAACGAATGAATACACATGTGATTTTTTAAATAAATTTTAAATAAATGTAAACCTTAACCATGTAAGTCGCATGAAATAATTAAAAATCATCTGGATGTGTTATTTATAAAAGGCCGCCTTTGCGTATCTCGCTGATGGCAGCGTGTCGGTTGGACTTTCATTTTCTATCAGGTATAGAGCTATACGTTAAGGAGAGTAATTTTTTTTAATAAATAAGTTAACAAAACTTTAAATTAAACAGTGTTAAAGAATGCGTTCACTTCATTAACATTAACTTTATTTACTTTACTGTAAATAGGTGAGTCGCATGGACATGTTGTATAAGATCTTATTTGTCTTCGTGTCTGTATCGTGATTGCTCCTGCGTTGGATTTTTGCCACTACATTTTAGATTTCCGTCAAATATGGTAATGTGGTCGAAAATAACCTGAAGAACATTATTAAGAAAATAACAGTTAACAATTAAAAAAAAATTAAATGAGACGTTTAGTATGTAATGTGCAAATTATCAATTAAAGATGACCTTCAGTTAATTCGGTCACGGTGACATTTGCCAGTTGACAACATGCGCCGTTCGTACCTCCCTATATGTGCCAAAAAAGTGGCGCATCAACTAACTCTTTTCAATTTTAGTATTATCTTGTCCTCGTTCACACCGTAATGCTTTTATGATGATTTGAATTTTTTATGATGATTTGGATTGGAAGAGAAAAGAAACACAAACACTATAATAATATCTAGATAATTTAGCATATAAACACATCATTCGTGACAAACTAAAAGCAGTCGCGTTAGCCGTTTTCAGATTTAGAGAAATTGTTACCTATAACATTCAATGTAGATTGTGATGAGCTGATAAGTGCACAAATGCAAATTGTTTTAATGTCATAAAGTATGGCACTAACGATGTTACAGTGGTCAATTACAAGTCAAAATATTAAAAAAAAACATTAAAAAATATTGGTGAGAAATATAAATTCAAGTAGTTTAGTTTCTAGTCAATGATTTTAGAATTTAGTATAATTCCATGTGATGATTCAATGGGAGATGTCATATGGGAGATGTATTATCAAACCGACGCAAGATAAATTTCATGCCCACATGATTGACGTGTTGTTTTTAGATTAAGCATATGATAAAGTTAAGAGAACCGCGATATGTCATTGATAAACCTTCTCTTTGCAGATATTTTATTTTAAAGTCAATGAAACTGAGCTGTTCTGTCGTCTTTTAATACGCAGAAAAAGAAAAAAATATAATTGTATTCAATAAATATGTTAATGTAAAGTGAAGTGTGGTCAAGGATGGCGAATATTTTGAAAAGGTAATTTTTAAATTATTTATACTTTCTAATTTAGCAAATAAAACTACAAATATAAACTTAATCTAATGTTTAATATTGTGTTGCCTTTATTTTAGGTGACGGCATAAAATAATTAATTTCCCATTTTGCCCTGTGTGTGTCGTGAGCTCGTAAGAGGCGACTATGCAAAATACCAGAAAAATTAAATGGCTTCCGATGGATGACGGTAAAACTATCTCATTTAGTATCAGAAGTACCCAGACAAGCGACAACCAATAGTGGCGTACGTCCAGAGGACGGAGCGGACTAAATAAGTTTCCGTTTAGCATTTAGTATTCTGTAATATAATTTAATGGCACTAGTGAAATTGTTAATTTCAATTTTAACATCTGATTTTCCATGTGCATGTATTAAGTGTAAAGTCCGCTAAGTCGCAGTGAAGCAGCCTGTTAGTCCCACTTTTATTTCACTTCAATGTATTGCATATAAATCTATAAATGAAAACATCAACTGGTATTTAACTACTTACATACCACGATGGTCAGGCGAGTTCGTTCGCACAGTGCCAATACCATCGCACTCGCAATACGTTACACTGATCCTAATCACCAATCCGTGGGAATTAGTTTGATTTTATTTCACAAGTTTGGTTTTGTGCCACATAATAATCTTGAAAATTTTTTCAGGGCTTCTCTTTCCATAATAGAATCATGCTTACCTTAAGATTTCAGATATTATTACATATAGGTACATATACTCACGTATCACGTATTTTGTCATTAAATAATGTCAGCTGTCCAAGGATGGATATGCACATACAATATATATATTGTTGTAGGTGATAGAATATTAATTTAAAAAAATTGTAGTATGTCGGCGCGTTTATAAAATACCGGATGACTCGAGAGAGAGCGAGAGGTTGCATCACTCTTGCAGAGTGTTATATCGATGAAGGTGGGGTAGAATTGAGGGTATATCGAGAAACCCCCACTCGTTCGTGCAGTATATAATTCACTGTAGGCGCCGTGCGCGTAATCATTCTACGATTGCTAATAACAGAATCGTAGTTCTGTCCGTTGTAGTAATTCTTCTAGTGCAGGGAAGGAAGATCGTGTTTCTGAGAGGCTGCTGTGTGTTACAATGGGGTGGGTAGTGCTGCTGTTGGCTTGCATACTTTGGTGTTATCATGTAATTATGTCGCTCATGTTACACTACTGTGTAATTGTGATGGGGTCATATTACGGTATAGTCGAACTGTAATTGCTCTATACTAAATGTATAGTGCAGAACACTGTTTTATTGCTGATAATGATTAACTGTGTAAGCGGGAGAGCAAGTTGAATATTCGCTTTCACACACCAGATGTATTTTCGAGAAGTATATTACATACCTCGAACTCGAATGCGAAGCTGATAGGTTAAGCTTTACTTGTCTCTTGTCAGGGTTACAAGACTCGCTTACATATTACATATACATATTTATAATTACATACTTAATGACCAAACAAGTCTACACTAAAGTACTGTAGTAGCGAACGCATGGGTATCGTTATCGTCAACAACTCAGATTTGTTTTTCTTTATAAAATAAGGGTGGCAAATAAGTACACAGTCCGGCTGATGGCAAGTGGATGCTGAGGCCCATAGACATTTACATTTATCCTCGATTAAGAATCAAAATGCAGATGCGTTGTCACCACTGAGAACTAAGAGGGAGTGCCTCGTTTCCATTAAAGCGGATCTCCGGTTTTCTACACTTACCATATGAAACCCAGCAACCTTAAGTTGCTATTTTACCCTGGTATTCTGTGAGAGCGTAATCCTTCCCCGGTCGAGCCAACCCATTCGTGCTACAACTGGCTCCAAAACGTTGTTTTTTATGTATAAAAAGTTCTGCAAATTCTTTCAATTTCATATATTGTATATTTATGTATTATCTAAGTATTAAATCAACGTGTTTTTGTGTTAATCCTAAAACAAGTCAACAACAAATTATCTGATATAGGTACTTGGCTTTTAAACTACCTATTTTTATTTGTAAAGATCACATGGATGGCGTCGCGTGAGCAACATCGCCGCTTTTGGAAGCGATGACTAAAATACCTAAAGCGTTAATAAATAAATAAAATATTATAGTGTGCTCAGAGCAA